GAAGACACTACCCAAAGAAAAATTGCCTAAAGGTGTGTTTATACATGTTCATGCACAAAGCTGGATGGATGGAGGAGGAATGAAGTTGTGGATAGATAAAATATGGTCGAGATGCCCTGATGGACTGTTGAAGAAACCTGCCCAGTAGTAGGGGATCAGTTTCATTCTCATAGAAGATGTTAACAATAAAGATTTCTTCAGAAGATCCTAAAAAAAACTCAAAGAATTGAAAACTTAGCTGAAATTTCAGGAGGCCTAAGTAGTCAGCTTCAACCTGTAGACATCTGCATTAAGCCATTTAAGGGATTTACGAAGGAGAATTGGAACACCTAGATGCAGTCTTCAAATTTTGAGGTTACACCATCAGGAAGACGAAAGAGACCTAGCATTTTGCAAGTTTGTGAACAGGTCAAAGCTTCATGGGATGCTGTAAAAACAGACAGTAGTCAAATCATTTAAGAAGTGAGGCATTAAGTAATGCACTGGATGGTACAGAGCACAATTCGTTGTATGAGGACTCAGATGCTGATTTAGAAGAGATTTTCAAGTGACTCTTCATCTAGCTCTGGAGAAAAGTGTCTGGGTTTTGATAAAGAACATTAAAAGGTATTTCCCAGATAGATTGGATATTTGCAGAAAGTATTACTTTATATTTAAAATACTGTAAATTCATTATAATGATCAGTTATAAAGTTTCCTCCTTCAAAAATGTATATAAAATAGGGGGTGCATTTTATATGCCGGTACTTGATATATGTATGCCGGTACGTAAATACGGTACTTGAAAATAGAAAACAAAATATTGCAATTTTATCAAGCATTAAAACCAAGGGTGCAGACAACAAAAAGTACTACATAACTGGTTTTTACTATTTATGTGGCAATACAGGTATGAGAACAGCATGTCTGTTTTGGCTGATGCACTATGCCCAAGTTATATGGATTCTGAATTAAAAGAATTAGCTGATTTTATTTTATTTATTTTTTAAGTGAAAATATATCACTGTATACATCGGGAGAACAACAGCACAAAAAAGAAAGATTTCTCAGAAAAGGTAAATGTTTTATTACCAATGTTTGCTCCTTTTAAATTTTATTGATTGATTGCTGTTGCACAGAATTCTTAGCACACCACCATTTTGAAAAATGGCTGTTGTCTTTCATGCATTAGCCTGGCAACAACTTAATCACCAACAAATTCCCAAATGCTCTTTAAAGTCACCACCAAGTTCATGACTTTTCAGCAGGAATGTAAATAATCAGAAAGTACTCCTTGTATTACTGCGAAGTTGTTTTGGTTTGGTTTATTAGATTATGGCAAAGCACTCGAGGGCTATCTGCCTTAAGGGAGGGATGCCTTCGTGGAGGACATTTTAAGGGAAACTGGCTCGTGTACACATTACATGGGGAAAACAAAAAATACAGCACACACGTTGGGGAGCAGAACGAATACCAGTGTTCCAGTGCACCTCAGATACTGCTCGGCTGCTGGTGGGCTTGCGAAGTTGTTGTTTCATTTATTGCCAAGTCAAGGGAGTGCACAGTGCCAAGTTTGTGCAATTCTCTGATTTTTTTTTTTAAGCGAAAATAGGTGGACGTACACATGGATAAAGTCAAGTGAGTGCACAATGCCTATTTTGTACAATTCTGTGATTTTTTTTAAGTGAAAATAGGTCATTGTGCACATGGATACCGAGTTTGTGCAATTCTGTGATTTTTTTTTTTCTAAAGTGAAAATAGGTCAATGCGCATATGGATACCAAGTTATGCAATTCTTCGAATTGCTATTTTGTCGTGTAGTGACGATTTATCGCCAAAAATCGCAAAGGGGTACCTGTAAATATACTTTTACTAATACAAAGTAAAGAAACAATTTACATTAATACGAGGGCAATCCAAAAAAAAAGGTCTCCTAGATTTTTAGATATACAAAGAACCGTTCATTTTCTATAATTGCTACATCACTTTAGAGGTTTGCAGAATGCTTTTATTTTTCAACATAATCGCCATTTCGGTCGATGCATTTTTGTAGACGCTGTGGCAGTTACAATGCCTATTGTCATACCAGCTGGCCGCCATGCCCTTCAGGAAGTGTTGAGGAGCTCAGGAGCATCCAGATGATCCTCTGATCTTTATGCATTTTACGAAACTCAACAATCGCGAAACTCAACGAATATGAACTCAACAATCAACAATCACGAAAGTTGAGTTAGTTCCTAAATTTTCGCGATTGTCTCGTCGGCAATTGACGGCCTCCCGCTCCTTTCTTCGGCATGAATTTCAGTACGACCGGCTGTAAACTCTCTACACCACTTGCGAACGTTTTTGACATCCAAGCACGACTGTCCATACACTTCTGTCAATAGGCGGTGAATATCAAATGCTTTAACGCCTTTTGCGTTCAAAAATTGAATAACTGTGCGCACTTCGCACTTGGCGGTAACGTTTATCGGGAGCTCCATTTCGAATGGCTGCCAAGCCAAGAGTGAGCATCCGAGCGAAGCGCCTGCGTGCTTATGTGGTAGCGGAGAAGGCACCACTCACAACAGTGTTGCCAACAACCGTATTAAAACTTTCTCTACGCCCCCAAAAAATAGGAGACCTTTTTTTGGGATTGGCCTCGTATGTTTCTTCTGAACACATATTTTCAGAAGACGGTCCTGCTTTAGTAATAAACCACCAAGAATATATGACTAACTGTTAAAACAATGTGCAATTATAGCCATTATCTATTTAATTTTGTTCTGTTGATTTTTAACTCTTATGTTTAATGGAAATATATATCTGCCTAATTCTCATACAGTCAAATTATACATAACTCAAAGAAGCATAATGTGAAAAAAGCAGCACTGATAAATCTAGATAAATACTAAGATTAAGCAGAAACCAGGACAGAGGAAGATGATCACATTTGATTGCCATGCAATTTGTTTGCAATTAATGCCCATATTATTATACAGAGAAATAATAGCAAGACAGATTATTTACCGATAAGTTAACACTAATGGGTCAATGGAAATAAGATATCAGGTAATATTTTAAGTACCAATTTTAAAAAATTATATGAAAATCTGAAATTAAATTTATATCAAATATATTTCAGCAGGGGCTCGTTTACAGGCATATAATATTTATAAACTTCAACCCTTGGTTTTCTACTTTAATTTTGTTATTTCCTGTCTGCCATAAAAATAGTAACTATATAAATCTCTCAGATCTGCATCATTTCAAAATCAACCCATGTCATGTAATTAATGAATAACTATAATAACGTAGGCACTTACATAAAATTTCAGTCAATAGTCATTTCAAATTTAAAGCTGAAATTTATTTTCAACCTGTGGGGAAAATCTGAATTGAAACTTAATAATTCTGCACTAAACTTTCATTTGGACACACTGCATTCATGCTAGGGTTAATCTTTGGATTATGGTAGCTTGGCGATTTTTTGGCAACCAACCCTGCTAGTTTTTGTTTGGACGCCATTTTGTTTTCAGGAAGTAAATGCTTTTTTTTTTTTTTTTTTTAACTGTACATTTTTTTCCAACAATTTGCTAGCCGAATTAAGCTTATGCTAGAACTTTTATGGAACAAAAGTGCTTAATCATGACAAATATTAGGTGCGAAATTGGGAGAAAGTGCAGAATCGCAAACTGCTTGCCGCGTTTTTAACAATTGCACATACACGGTATCCATGTACACGTTGACCTATTTTCACTTAAAAAACATCCTAGAATTGCACAAAAATGACATTGCGCACTCTTGACTTGTACACTGCTAAAGTCCTAGCTAGTAACCTTTATCACCTTACCAAAATGTCGGCAAACTACCTGTTACCATATTCCAAAGATTAGCCCATGCTAGTACTCACCTCTTTTCCAGCAAATATATCAATATAATAAAGTATAAAAGGCACAAATGTGATAAAAAGTAGGCATCCAAAGTTGGATCTATTGCACTTTGAAATTCAAGTTAACAATGCGCTTCTCAAGAAATAAAATATATTCAGTTGACCTTGATTACAGTTAGTATCTCTCTGCATCAACACTTATCAGGTTCACATCATCATCTTAAATCATCACATATATGCTCTTACTCACAAAGAAACACAACTTTAGCTACTTCATGAATATTTCACAAAAGCAAAACCAAAAGTAAAATTATTTTCATAAAAAATAATTAAAACTCAAGAAGATTTAGACAATTCCTCAATATCAGAGTCATACATATTTTACAAACATCCAATGAATAAAATCAATTTATCTGCAAAAATTAACACATATAATATGATATTCATCTATTCAAAATGAAAAATAAAACCTTTAACCACAGTCAATTATTCATATGACGTTCATGGCATGTGACACACAGTTCATTTTGATAATTAATTCAAAAGCTTGTTATAGTATTAAGATTATACCAATTTTTACTTTTGATTAAATACGACAGAACTTTACAAATCTAGAAAGAATAATGAAGATTCCTCTTCCGTCCTCATTTTGTCTCGAATAGATAATGCCTATTTTGCATACTATGACAACATATATTTGCAACAGTTGTGAAATTAGAAAACTAATCTCACTAATCAAAATTTTGGTTACTAAAAAAAATTATAGATCTTCAACTCGAAAATAAAAGAACTTTAATTTTATATCTAATAAATAAATTGCCTAATTAAAGTAAAACACGTACTTTTTGACAAATAATTAATATACGCTTAATCAGAGACACAAAACTATATTCAGCCTGCACGAAATCTCCACTATAAAAAAAGAATTCGAAAAATACACCAAGCAAATGCTTTAAGCTCAATTTAAATAGCTGGCTGTTAACAATTTAAAAGTAAAATAAAAAAAATTACACTTAATCAGCACTGCGTTAATTTAATAATTAATTAGCATATATGAACAACAGAAACTAAGTTCTAAAGATATGAAAGCTTCATAGAACATAACTGTGTAGAATATATTCATATTTTCTTATGAAATGTAAATGCTTACAATAAAATGAAAGTTTAATTTTTTGATACAAAGCTATGTTGTATCACTTTTCATTTTCTAGATTAATACTCGATCTAACAGGGAAAATGAAATTTACTTGTTTATTAAATTTAACTGTTCAAAACCACACCAAACACGAACTCATGACTAAGATATGTATAAAATATAATCAAGTTGTAACAATCGATTAATCCATTACTTTCCTTTAAATATTTAAAGGATATTACTATAAAAGTGTTACTTAAATCTTTACAGTGGTGCACAGTAAAAAACAAGACACACGGATGTCACGTTTTGCACGTTGCTGTAAAACTTTTAACTTGATGGAAAAGTTAATTAGAAAGAAATATAACTAACGTAACGATAGAAAAGGGGGCATAGTCAAAGAGGTATGTAAGAAATATAAATGTCATCATTATATCTCTTGACAACAGAAAGAGCAGCAAAAGTAAGTTACTGCAAAAGTTATATTCCTCGCTAAAAGCTAATGACAATTTAAGCAGTATTGAAGTAATTTCCTCAAACAAGAAAGGATAAAATTTAAGTAAGGAGGTTAGAATGCCGGAATAATCCTTTTTTAAAAAAGCTTAGGTGGTCACGGCTTTCTTATCCCGATTATATGGCAGTATCATCCTTGAACCGGCAGGTTCCTTTCAACGGGCGCCTGGACGGAAGGGTCCTATCCCGATCGAAGTTGCGTCTCTTTTCGAACATTATGGGCATAAGTGTTGTTCGGCAGAGTGATGATGGCATGTCGATAAGCAATGTGGATGGTAAGCAATGATAGTCCAGCAGAAAGATGATTTGAAGATACCTGCACTTGGGGAGAAGTATTCAGAGGCTAACTCCTAGGTTGAAAGTCGCTGCGCTGAGGTATAGAAGGCGGCGTCGGTGGGCGGGGAGAGAATCTTGAAATCTTCAGGTCAGGTGGGTGAAAGTGTCCAATGGGAGAAAAAGTTGGAATTTTTGGAAATAGAGCTGAGGGGTCTCATGCAAGCAAGTGTATTATGTTCACAGATCAAAGATATAATTTAAGAGTTTTTTTTTTTTTTTTTTTTTTTTTTTTTTTTTTTATTATTAGTTAAAGATGTTAGCTTCCTCACAATATAGTAAATAGAATTAATAGTTTTCTCCATGGGTGTGTATCTGCTGCTTTTAATTGGTGTAAGCTATTTTTGAGAGTAGAGAAAGAATTTAAATATGTTATTGTAGCCGAAAATATTATTGAGTTCTTTTAGTGTAGAGAAGAATGTCGGTGAAAATGTTCGCGTTGGATGTAGTGTTGGTAGTCTGATTTCTAGTGTCTTGTGTATTGTTGGAAGTAACTTGTGCGTATGTTCTGCCTTGTGTAATGTTTGGGGTGCTATTGCTTGGAGTAAAAGTGTAATTTGGTGAATTATTTGTATTTCTGTTTTTCGGGAATTTCTCGCAACCGCGGTATGAAGCTGGATGATTTTTGCGGCAGTTTGCGCATGTGGGGTTATCTAATTTACCTTGTGTTGGGCAGTCTGTTGTTTTTTTATGTTGTTGTGCGCATTTAACACACCTAGGTAAGAAGAAACAATTGTCTGATGAGTGATTAAAACGTTGGCAGTTGTGGCATTGTGGTGTAATGTTTTTGTTGATGTATTTTTCGATTGTGATAATGAACATACCTAGGTGTGTTTCACTGTAGATTTTGTCGATGTTTGGTGTTGGCATGAGTTGTATCTGAAATAGTGGCATGGGTTGTTTGGTTTTGAATCTTGTGAGTTGTACTACTTTGTGTACATTGTATCCGAGGTGTGTGAGTTCCGTGGAAATTTCATGTGTGTCAGTGGTAATGGGTAAGCCTCGGATAACTACTTTAATTGGGCGTTTGTGCTTGGGTGTAATGATATAATGTTCGATGTTATGTTTTTGTAAGTCTGTGGTGAGTTGTCTGTGATCATCTGTTGTTGATGGTAGTAACTTGAGGTATTCTCCACTTATTTTGGCGTAAAATGTAGCATTAGTCAGTGTAGTGAGTTTTCTTGATGTACTGGTTGTGTGTGGCGCCATCTATCGGCTTAACCATAATTGGTGTAGGTGTGCTATATTGGGGAAGTCTTGTATCTGGTGTTTGCGAGCTGTTAATTTGTGTTGTGGGTTGGGTGGAATGAGTGTCAGGTTGCGAGAGTGCTGTGTAGCTGTTTTGGGTGGGTATACTGTTGGGTGCAACATTTACGGGTACCTTAGCAGTTTTGTGTGGTTTTTTGAATCCTTCCGTGTCGTCGTCACTGTCTGAATTATCACGTGGTTTGCGTTTCTGTTGTGTGATTGGCTGTGTAATGCTTGCATGGGAAAGAGCAATATTCAACTTACCCCTCAGCTGATCCAGCAGAGTCTTCTTCTTTTTCTATCTCCTTTTTCAGAATGTCCGAATGATAGTCCGTGTCCGTGACTGGTCTTGGCCGATAAGTACCGGATGGTTCGTAATAGGTAGAAATCCTTTCTACTTCAACGATTTCTTGTCGGAGTGTAGCAATTTCCAGCTCCGTAAGAACGTGCCCAGCATTGTCCTGGTCCATATCAGTGGCCGTCGCATTCGAGGTGTCCGCAACAGGATCCATACCTTTATCCGGTGGAACCGCTTCGCTACGGGGAGTCTGCTTAGTATCATCCATGAACCGGCAGGTTCCTTTCAACGGGCGCCTGGACTGAAGTGTCCTATCCCGATCGACGTCTTCTTTGCTTTTCGATCCTTAGTGCTAATAGTTTTTGTATGGCATATCTTTTCAGCAGGATACGTTTGTAGATGTGTCGATGGTATGGCATAATCGAAAAGTAGGATGATAAAAAGCGACTGCAATTAGAAGCCGGAGGGTAAGTCCGCGGAGGCAGCTTTTCACGGTCGGCGTGCAGTAAGTGCAGAGCTTCCTTCCTTGGTGAAGTCTTGACTGGGACTGAAGTAGTCGTGCTGGCGTTTTGGAGGAGCTGGTGGTCGTCACGTGCTTGCGGGCATCCAATGCCGTCTCTTCGAGGCGAAAGATTGTAGTTTGGCTGAGGGATATCACATGCAAAGTGTTTGGATTGGTGGAAGTGTTTGTAATGGTTGTTAATGTATGTTGAGTGTTGTAATGTGCAACCCAGTGGAACGGTGCCTTGGTACACCAGGGTACCTGGGCCGAAGGGTTTCTACCCCTTTTAGAATATGATTTAGATTTTTTCGATTTCTTTTTTTCATTAATTTTTTACAGATTAGTCTAATTTTTTTTTTTATAATTTTAACATTTTTTATGTTATATTTTTGAATTTTTTATTTTTTTTGGGTTTATTTTAGGGTTTTTTTGTATATAAAAATGCTATAATCCTATTTCCTGTATTAGCGGGAAGGTTGATTTTCATATGTGTGCTGGTATGCTAGGATTATTTGATTTATGTAGAGTTTTGTAGAATTTGGTGGATATGTTTTCATGAATTCATGGATTTGGGTAATGTTTAGTTCTCTATGAATGGCTTCATTCCTAACATACCAGTGTGCTTTTGAGATGATGCGAAGTGTATTGTTTTCCAGTGATACAAGTCTATTGAGGTGCAGTTTTACAGAGATATCCCCAGGCAGGGCAGGCATAAGTTAGGATGGGACGCAATACGGCCGTGTAAATGAGTAATTTATGGTCTAAGTCCAAAACGCTGTTTCGAGTGATTAGGGGGGCAAGTGTATGTCTACTGCCTCGAAACTTTGAGATTAAGTGGTTGATGTGGGGTAGAAATGTGAGTCTCCTATCCAAAATAACACCTAGGTATTTGGTCTGCTTGACCCAGGGGATCCTTTCGTTAAACATAATGAAACTGTGTGGTATATTTCTTTTCCATGAGAAGAGAATAGCTTCTGACTTGGATACATTAATTTGTATTTTCCAGGCCACCAGCCAGGACTCAATAGCATGAATATGATCTTGTATCTGTTGTATTGCTGAGCTAAGTGTAGCACTTTGAGTGAGAATCGCTGTATCGTCTGCGTACATGGCGAGTGTAGTGTTGTGTGTATGTGGGATATCGTTCGCATAAATATTGAATAGTGTTGGCGAGAGAAGGCATCCCTGAGGAGTGCCCGCTCTGATGTGTTTTCTAGTAGAATTTGTTTTGTTAATGCGAACGACAAATGTTCTATCTGCAAGATAGGATTTAATGATGGAGATGATATGTTCTGGGAAACCCAGAGTAATAAGTTTGTATATTAGGCCTTCCAGCCAAACACGATCAAAAGCTTTGGCTATATCTAAGAAGACTGCAGGAGTTTGCAAATTATTTTGAAGACCACTGGAAATCTGTTCAATCACCCTATATAGTTGCATGGTGGTGGAATGATCCTTCCGGAAGCCAAACTGTGCAGGAATAATAAGATTTTTTTCTGCTATAAATCGGTTTATGCTATCTAAAATTACTTTTTCTGTTATTTTGCTAAGAATGGGAAGGAGGCTAATTGGTCGATAGGACGTCACGTGGTCTGCAGGTTTATCCGCCTTCAAAATTGGTGAGATAACTGCTATTTTCCATGCCTTGGGAAAATATCTAAGGTTCAAGATATCTTGAATAATCCTAATTAGCCTGCAGAACATGAGTGCCCCCATTTTTTTGATCATATTTGCACTGACATGGTCTATTCCTGGGCTTTTTTTCTTTTTCATCTGCTCGATATAGCCAAATACATTCGACGGATTGACTAGAATCGTGTTGTCTGCGGGTGTATTTGTAAAATAATGTGTAAGGGTTTGTGAAACTGTGAGTTCCGTTTGAGGGTGTGAAATGTTGTTGAGTGTAAATTGAGATGCATAGTAATCCGCGAGGGACTCAGCTTTCTCAATATCTGTGTGAGCGATTCCTGAGGGGCCGTTAAGGGGCGGAATGGTTTTGTGGCTTACACTATATCTAGAGATCGCTTTCCAGAGCGAATTATCGTCTGGGGATAGCGATTCTAGTGAATTAGCCCAGCAGTATTGTGCATGTGCTTTGGAGAGAGCCCTGACCTGGTGTTGAAGTTTGTTGAAGATTCTTTTGTCAGCAGGGTATCTTGTGCGTTGCCAGGTTTTTCTGGCGTAATTACGTTGTTTGATAAGTTGCTTTAGTTTTGAGTTGCTATTGCTTTTTTCTTTTCGTGGTTTGCTGTTTTGGTTTAGTGCGTTAGTAAGGTCAGATGTAAATTTTTCAATTAGCGTGTCTAACTCATCCTCATTGTGTGGTGTTGTGGGTATGTACTGAGTGTTGTTGAGAGCTTTGGTGTAATTACGCCAATTTGTAATAAAGGCTCGGTGTTGTGGTGTACTACAGTGAGTA